AAAAAAAAAAGGTAAAATATATAAAATTCTGGAAATAAAGAAGTATGTCTCTTTAAAAGAACTGAAAAAAGAAGTTCAGCATAGCTAAATCTGGGAAATGGAGGGTGGCAGTAAAGAGATGAGGTCTGCAGGAATCTGTGTGAAGAGCTCTGTACAACATATTAAGGAGTAAGGACTTTGTCATAAGAGCAACAGAGAGTCACTGAAAAGGAGCTCGCAGTCATGTTTTAGAAAGATTACTATAACCATAAAGCGGAAAACCAAGGCAGGGAGGCCAATCAGGATTTGAGGTAGCATTCAAGGGCGAGATGATGGCAGTGTGGATTAAATTAGTGATCCTGGAATGAAGAGAAACAGAAAGATTAGAGAATTTTTAGAAATAAAACAGATAGGACTTGATAATTGGTTATATACGTAGGCAGTATAAGAGAGACAGAAGTCATGGGTGTCACCTACAATTCCTGCTAGAGCAGTGAGGGATGAGATTGTGTCATTTGCTGAGATGGGAAGCACAGGAAGAAAAGATTTGCAAGGATGCTGAGCTCCGTTTTGGACATGCTGAATTTGAGGTACTATGGAATAACCAAGTGCAAATGTTGGGCAAGCAATTGAATGCATGATCTTATGTTCCATACGGTGCTCTGAATTACAAACGCAGACTGGGGAGTTGTTAGTATGCAAATCGTAGCTGAAGTCATGTGAGTTGCCGAGGTGATGTATGGAGTGATGAGCGAACAGGCTGTTGGACTGAACCCCAAGTTACACCAAAAGTTAAATTCTGGGAAGAGAAATGGAAGTTACAAAAGACCCCAAATCCACTAACAACCCTGAAGCCACAATGTGTATGAGTTTATATTCTTCTTGACCAAGTCTACTACTAGAGGCGCTAATAGGTATGAAAGCTTTGATTTTTTTTCTTCTTCTTTCACTTTGTAAAGCCACAAAATAATGAAAATGTTCAAATTAAGTTGAAATCAATAAACCTTTGTAAAATAACTGTTACAATTGAATCTACAAGTAAAACAGCTTTTGATTGTGTGGTACCTATCTTTGATTATTTTGAATTTTCTTTATCACAACAGACCTTTTACCGTAGTTCGCCCTCCATCAGTTCCGTAATGGTTTCTCCTTTCCTGATCACCTGGATAGTCTTTAATGGATTTGCAGCTCAGTGACAATCCAGAGAGATTTTCTCTGATCAAGACGTGTGATTATATCAAACAGAGTCCAATAGAAAAAATAAAGAGAAAAAAGGTAAATAAAAAACTATAACCCCCTGGGCGGTGCCTGTGGCTCGGTGAGTAGGATGCCAGCCCCATATACCGAGGGTGGCGGGTTCAATCCCGGCCCGGCTGAAAGGCAACCAAAAAATAGCCAGGTGTTGTGTCGGGCGCCTGTAGTCCCAGCTACTTGGGAGGCTGAGGCAAGAGAATCGCTTAAGCCCAGGAGTTGGAAGTTGCTGTGAGCTGTGACACCACAGCACTCTACTGAGGGTGATAAAGTGAGACTCTGTCTCTACAAAAAAAAATTACAACCCCTATTAAACCCACATGATTAATAAATACACGTTGGTCAGTAGAGAACCATGGCCCATAATTCCCACATAAAAAGATCCCAAAACAGTTTTGGATAGGTCGACGAGCATTTACCTCTGTCCTTTCCTTTATTTCACAAAACTTGTTCTTTCCTCTCCTTTCCTTTCCTATCCATAGGAGTTTCGAAATGGGAATGTGGTCTATCGGGGGGCTAGTCAGTGATGTGCTGATATGTTTAATAATGGGCTCCTCAGGAAAAATGACCCCTGGTTTGTAGTGTTTGACAAGTTTTTTTTTTTTTGGAAAAATATTCCCACCATAGCCAATTTCAAATTACTAGTGTCAATGAAAGCGGAAAAAAACATATGCTGTTGGCTCTTGTAAGCCATGGCAAGCTGGCTACAGCACACTACTGAACTCAGAATGATCTGACCCGTAGCCAGGAATGGTAATATACCTTGTACATGACAGCTTAAGGTATGAGAGACCTGAGTTCTAAAAAATACAGAGTTTTTACTTTGGGAAAAATTAATTTACTCATCTATAGTTAGATTACTTGTAGACCTTGACCTTTTCTTTTGAACTGAGGGCTGGCAGTATGAATGTACATTATATAATCTAATAACCTTAGCATTGTAACTTTTATTTCTTTATTTATAAGCAATGACAGCTTCTAGAAATGGCTTATATATGAGATTAAAATGATTGAGAATTGTTTTGAACTTAATTCCTTATACCACAAACTAAAAAGATTATCAGAAATTCATTTCAGGATTATTAGTATAATCTGCATATATATCACAAAAGAAAATATTTTCTATTAAATCAGTCAAACTTGTTTTTCTTCCATATCAAAGCAAAAGATTTGGTGGTATATTGAACTAACCAATCAATAATATAGATAGAAAGAATACCAGCAAAATATCTTATTTCACTATATAATTTAATAATACCCTATTAACAGCAGTGAGCAGATACATAGTATTGACAGTACACTAAATAATTACTATTAATATTTACTTTTAAAATATTTTCAACATTAGACACTGGTGAAACCAGAGCTCTTATTTGTACACTATATTTTTGTTGCATTCCAAAGGAAAATTAAAATTCTTGGTAGCATTAGAAAAGAATATACCTATCCATATTTTACACAGATATACAAATTCTCGTGACTTCTGAAAACCACACAATTCTAGTGTGCACAAAGGAATACACCTCTTTGAACAGTTTACACTTATGCTAAGTTCATAAAAGTTACTATAAAAATATTGCAAATGCAATAAAAACACAAAGATATAGTACAAATTCTTTTGTTTTTAGAAAGTCAAATTTAAAAACGCCCGTATTTATACAAATGCACAACACTTTTTAGTGTCCCCTGACTGGTATTTCTATTCAGGATTATCTGGTTTTAGACATCTAAGTTTAAAGTATTTTATTATTTTCTGCTTCAGAAGGAAAAGACACCGAGAATACAGGGAACACATTTTTAAAATAGGATTGGGTAAAAACTTTAGGAAGTAGAGTAGTAAGCACTCTACATGCTTTAGTTATTGCCCCACCCAAACCAAACATTGCCTACTACCCCATCTTGCTCATATTTAATTTCTTAATTATTTTAACCTCTCCTTTGTTTATACAGTCTTTGAGACAAAATTGTAAAGATTTAGGCTCTCTAACAAACTCCACATATCACTAAAGCCATTTTCCATTCTCAAAGCATCTTTTAAGAAATGTTTATTTTAGTATAAAACCTCAAAGTGCTGAATTAAGACACATTAATAATATGGCTAGCCAGTAACTGACTTGGCTTTAGCCTTAGAAGAATATTATTACAGTTGGCTGTTAAGTTCCAAACTTAAGTATTTGATTTTATACTGTAATATTCCAGATAACAAAGAAAAGCAGTTTTTTTTCCTGAAAATAACAGTAAAGTATAAATAAATTACTTTTTGCCAAAAAAAAAAATCTATGCCAAGATAGGAAATACATCGTTTCAAATCTGAGAATTGTTATAGAAAACTACAAAATTATAAATTTCTGAAAAAAATTACACTGAAAATGTTTCCCTAGGAAAAAAGTCAGATACAAGAAAATATAGCATATTATCATAGAGTGCAGTCAACTAGGCTTATGAGACTTCAAAAACTCACAAAAAGTAATTAGCACCAAAATTGTCTAACACTTCAAATTATATACTGAAGTAATTCTAGGCCCAAGTGTTACATTATAAAAAAGTTATAGTTAACTCAAGAACTTTCCCTGACAATAATAAATATATTCTTTTCAACTGTTAGGAAATGAGCTAGCTTTACTGATTTTTACCACAATATTAAGGTAGAATATGCTAATTATCTTGGTTCAGATTGAGCAGGGACAACAGAAATCTAAGAATTTCCCAAATAATGTCAGATAATTTGGTGGGGGTACATGAGGAGCAGTTTTCCAAGTAAAACTTATTTTTAACTTGTTTCATCCTTTTTCTTCAAAAATGTTTGAGTAGAACTCTTTACAAGAACCATATTGCTTGATTTAAATTCTATATTCTGTTATTTTTCCTGCTTGCTTTTTGGTGGTGTTAGGTAAGACTTGGCAGGGGGATAAAGGTATCTAAAGGGGACAGAGATACAGTAAGTGAAACATGAGTTTTGAATAAGCTAATGTATATTCAAAATATATATTTAATCCTGTTATAATCAAGAGTTGAGTTTAGTTTTAAACAATGTCCACATATAAATTTAATTACAAATGGCCAGTAGACAATTGGAAACAGGGCAAACTGTTTTGGTTGTCCCAAAGTGAAATATATAACCTCTCCAATTGACATACGTGGCGACCAAATGTGAAACAACAACTCACTCAGCCACGGTTACTGTTGTACGTAAATAATGACAAGACAAAGAACAGCAACTAGCCCAAGAGCTTGCAGGCCAAGGAACCACAGCATAACCCAAAAGAAAATGACTATTACTGGTTCCACGATTCGTTCTCCAAAATACATCCGTGTGAAGCCCATGTTGATGAGATTTTTGTTCAGTTCACCAAAAAGTGTCCCCATCTTTTTGTAGTCATCTCCAACAGGCTCACCCATGTGGGTTTGTGATTCTTCAACATCCTTAAAAAAAAAAAAAAGACAAAATATGAACATAAAATGAGAAATAGGGAAGGTTTAATAAATAAGAGCAACAGCTATCTTCTATCTTACAGTTCTTTATCTCCCATGGGACTGCGCACACTTCTGACAATTACTTAATAAATACTTTTAAACTGAAAACAAGGGGAATGGTCTTTTTGATCCTGGAATTGAAAAAATAGCTGCTTAAAAAGGAAGAATCGCATTTGTATTTCTTTTTTATTTATTTTTTTGAGACACAGTCTCAAGCTCTCAACCTGGGTAGAGTGCTGTGGTGTCACAGCTCGCAGTAACCTCCAACTCCTAGGCTCAAGCCAGTCTCCTGCCTCCGCCTCCCAAGTAGGTGGGACTACAGATGCCCACCACATCTGGCTATTTTTTGGTTGTAGTTGTCATTGTTGTTTTGTGGCCCAGGTTGGATTTGAACCTGCCAGCTCCAGTGTATGTGGCTGGTGCTCTAGTTGCAGACGCCGAGCCTGCATTTGTATTTCTTTTGGCAGTGACCATGATTTCAGAACAACCTTTCTGTCCCTTTCCTGTTTTATAAGGGAGAGTCCCAGGTTGCTGTGTCCTAGTAAGCTTACTTTGATATTAAGACTTTAAGAAACCAAGCCTCAGCTGAGTGAAGCATGTCTTGCTGTTACCCTTGAGCAATCCTAAGCCATTACTGCCGTGACTGTTCACTCTCAGACCCAGCTCAGTGGACTCCACTGTCAGCCCTTACATAATTTCCTGTCCACTCTACAAATGTCCTAACTGCCCCTTATTAATCTCATCAAGAGGAAAAAAGTTTTTAAACAGGAATGATTCTTTACAATAAGGCCAAAATCCACCAAGAACTAATGCCACAGAGAATGTCTACGTGTACCCAATTATACATAGCAAAAACTATTATTTCCATTATCTCCCAATCTTATTACAATTAAGGCCATCATATCAGTTATTATGTACTATCTCTCAGCTTCAAACTCACTCTTGGGAATTCTGCAAACGGTTCTGCCTTCCTGTTACCTCTGCCAATACAGGTACCAGAGAAACACGGCAGAGACGGAGAAGGAAGAAATGTGCTCGTTTCCTTCAGATGGGTTTCTTGATCCTGTTAGTCTCACTCTACAGCAGTTCTTTCTAGCAGCAGCAGCTAATTGTGATTTGGGGGGTTTTCTAACACTTACAGAACCAATCTCAAGGTGCCGTCTTGAGACACCAGCTCCAGGGAGCTCCTTCCTCAGATATTGGTTCCAAGGGCTATAGGTCCTTCCTTTGAACATAGAGAGCCAGTACCAGGTGAGCAGGGACCCATTCTTTCAAATCTGTATTTCATCTCACTGGGGACCTTTACTCAACCTTCTCAATTTTAGTAATTCCATTTCTTTTCTTTGCTGCAAGTTTGCTACCCACTTGTTTTTCTGGTAGACAGAAGTGAAAATCCAAAAGTAATTTTAAAAATTACATAAAAGTATAGCTCAAAAGTAAATCTGGCTTGAAAACATAAACTTAGGGATGACCCATTGGTGGCTAGCAGCGATGGCTGCTTCTGGCTGTTGTGTTGTATTTTAATGCAATGGTTTCTAAGCTTTAGCATACATTAGCATCTCTTAGAGAGCTTGTTAAAGCACAGATTGCTCAGCCCACTACCAGAGTTTCTGCTTCAGTAAGTCAGGAGTGAGGCTTGGAGTATGAGAATTTGCATTTCTAATAGGTTTCCAAGTGATGCTTATAATACTGGACTGGTGATCATCCTTTAAAAATTATTGCCTTTATGCTTGCTTTCTGCCTTTTCCATTCTTTAATATCGAGTTAACATTTACTTATATTAAATTATCTTTGTTAAAATAATTAGTATAATTTCTCTCTCCTCAGTAGACCCTAGTATAGTCACCACCCCCCCCCCAAAAACAAAAAAAACAAAACTATGCCATGTAGGTGCCATAATTGTAATTATAACTTATTAATTAATGTATATTTATAGGAGTCATGGTTCAAATACTTATTGAACACTTACTTGCTCATAGTAGGCACAAGATGGAGAATTTTTTGTATGTTAAATTGAACCTTTTGGTAGAAGGTCTCACATAATAACAAATCAGTAAATATTAAATATCATTAAATAGGCTGTCTTGGCCAAAGGAAAGTAAAATTATCTTAAAAAGGGAGTATCAGCTCGGTGCCTGTGGCTCAAGTGGCTAAGGCACCAGCCACATACATCTAAGGTGGTGGGTTCAAATCCAGCGCAGGCCCGCCAAACAACGACGGCTGCAACCAAAAAATAGCCAGGAGTTGTGGCAGGTGCCTGTGGTCCCAGCTACTTGGGAGGCTGAGGCAGGAGACTCTCTTGAGCCCAGGAGTTGGAGGTTGCTGTGAGCTGTGATGTCACAGCACTCTACCCAGGGGGATAGCTTGAGGCTCTGTCTTAAAAAAGAAAAAAAAAAAAAAAGGAAGTATCATAAAAATTACCTGATACAAACAGCCAATCAATTTGAGAAAGTTAAGGCATTCTTCAAACATCTGAATTAAACTTGCATCCTTCAGTAGAAACCAAAGCTTAATTATTTCAGTCATAATTCAATGAACTACTAAAAATATTTTTTCATTTTATGAAAATTCTTATTTTTTATTTCACATATTTAGTTAAAATACATCATCAAGGGAAGACTGACTGAAGAAAATTTAACTTAGGTTTGAGATAGTCAGGGAAAAGGATTTTCAATTTGACTTTAAGAATGCTTTCCCCATACACTAGTAATATATGTAAAGCACAGAGTCCGAGGGAGATTGGTGAGGTAGTAGCAAATAAGACTCAATGGCTCATCACTAAGTGTATGTGTTCAAGCCAGATTTACTTCTGAGCTACACTTTTATGTAATTTTTAAAACCACTTTTGGATTTTTACTTTTGTCTACCAGAAAAACAAAATGAGATAGTTCAAATGCGGGTTGTAAGCCCTTAGATTAGCTGAATGACCGTGGCCCAATGACTTCACTTGCCTGAGCCTCAGTTTTCTAATGCATAAAATAGATATCATCCTTTTTTGTTACTGATAGTTTACTTTTACATTATAATTTGTTCATCATTTTTGTTTTTTTAAAACTATTTCCAGATTATCTTTTCCTTCACTAATATGCTGCCACTAGGTATGTTTTGTGTCTTGGTTTCCTATACTTTTATGTGTTCCTCAATAATACACTACATTAGAAAAAACAAACTTGTTCTTGCCTTTCTTTAGGGTAGAACCTGAAGAGTCTTTGGTTTAATCTGCAATTCCACTGGTCCCTATCCCTCTTTGCTCCTCCAGTGTTTAGCATGGTTTTTTTTTTTTTTTTTTTTTTTAATTTCAGATTAATTTGAGTTACACAGGATCAGGTTACAGTGCTGTAGCTGTGTCCGGCCCCCAGGAGGTGCCGCGTACCGTTACCTCCTGCCCACTAGGAGGAAGCACAGCATTCTCTTCCCTCCTCCCCTCTGGCCGCCCCACCCACCACTGTTGCTATGGTTTCTGGACTTTTTTGTTTTTCAGTTTTTATTCAAGTTCTTTAAAAAAATTCTTTTTGCTCTTCCCAATGTCTTGTTATGTACTCATTCTTCTTTGGGTTTTTTGTTGTTACTGAAGCTTTTTAAGACCTTTTTTTTTTTTTTTAGTACTTTTGTGGTTTTAGTACAAAGTACTAAATCTAAATATCCTAATTTAATATAGTAGGTACTCTCTGAAGGTTTCTGTAAAATTCTTTGCAAATGAATTAAATCTACAAATTCTTGTGGTTTTTTTAAGGGGAAGAAGTAGGTGTTGCAACACTTAAATCAAGATAAGGAGTTAGTTAATCAGGCCAGGTGAGGATCACAACACCTCAGATATTCGGAACAGCTAGTGGGACTGAGACTGGAAGACACAGCAGGGACTGGGGAGGTCAAACTGTGGCTGTTGCAGCCTGCTGCTACTTCTTTTCTTAATTATAAAAAATTTCATGTACATAAAAAATTAGAGAAAGGGGTACAATAAACCCTTGAACACCTATAAATCAGGTTTAGTAACTACTAAAATTTTGCTTTCTTAGTGAAGTATTTCTTAATCTTAAAAAAATCCCTAATGCCTAAAAATGCCTAAAAAATGCCTAAAAGTAACACAAAGTGAAATTCTGTAGAAATAGCAAAGATATCTAGCAATGAATTGGATCAGAGGTTCAAACAATTTTAAAAGAAGACATTTAAGAACACGGAGAAGAAAATAGGCAGTGTTCTTAAATCAGTGAGATTGCAGTCAATGTCATTGTAGTATTCTAGGTATGTAAACTACTCCTTCAGGCACCACAATTCTAAAGCGTACAAACAGTGTGTGTTGATAAATGCTTAACAGTGGGCTTTGCGGAGGGCCAGGGCAGCTGTGTTTGCCAATTCTGTATGTTTTTTTCAGTTTCTATAATTTTAGTACTCTCACTGTAGCCAATTTCCAGCTGTTCACAGCCAGCTTACATGGTTTCTGAAAATTTAACAATTGGTTTTTACGGTCTGGTAGGAGCCAGCACCAGCACTTCACAGTAGGAACAGTACTTGAGATAAGTTAAGATAAAGGCCTACATGGTCATAATCCATGAGTTTGATTTCCCCTGTTTCCATCAATTGGTATATTGTTTTTTTTTTTAAGTTAATGAAATTGATAAATTGGAATAGTTAAGCAGAATCACTACAAGTCTGTTGAAATTGGAACACTGTATTAAGAAATACTGTCAGATTGAAGGAAATGTGTGTAGTGACACAACAGGGCTGTATGTACAGAATTTTGCCTTTTCTGGTTTGTTTCATGCTGATATCAAAAGGCATCCCATTCAATACTTTTTATATATGCTTAAGTACAATAACATTTAAGTCACCTGGTTGATTTGTGAGGAGGAGGGTGCTTTGTCCATGCTCCCTAACTCAGTGCTCCACCATCCACATGCCAGATCCAAAGGCCAGGAACAGGATTCTTGACCTCCTCCCTCTTCAACACG